CGGAGACAGACCCGACTACCTCGTCCAATGCTCTGAAGGCTTGGAGAAGGACGCCCTGAAAGTGTGCACTCCGTCTATCATGGCGGAGTTCTTGAACCGCATCACCATCACCTGGCCCTTCTTTGGCGCCCTCGACTTCTGGGCGCAGTTCGCCTTTCTTGGCGTCTTCCTCCTCGTCTTCGTGACAGGTCTTTTCAGGACGCCCAAGCTCAACATGTCCGAGATCGACGAGGATGCTGAGGCAGACGAGGAGGAGGGTTTATTGGCTAGCACTGGCCGCCGATTTGGTGCTACGTGGCAGGATATTACGGGGCGGTCGAAGTCTAAGAACACTTACGGCACCTCAGAGAATAACAACGGCGGCCGCTCTACGGAGGCTTAGGTCATGGGCACGAAACATTAGTTTGCTAAGCACATGCTAGGATTGTAAAACAAGCACATCGCATGGAAGACTCGGGTTACTAGCAAGGAGTGTGGATATTTGTTTTTGAAATAGGTACGGCATGGCACACGGCGACGGGGGAAAACGGAAATTGGTATCTTATCACAGAATGCTTAAACCTTTCATTGTCATAACTTCATGATGCTCCCAATGCTACCCTTCTCTGCTGATCCTTCTTCGGCTTGACGAATCGCACTGCCTTGTGAGTGCGGTCGTCAAAGGCGGCAGCCGGTCCAACGTGCATCTCATGCCAGCAACGGGCACAGTAGACGTCTTCACAGCCGAGGCACTGCAGCGTTGCGTCCTCCAGGCAGACGGTACACCACGTGTCGGCGTCCTCGTCCGTGAAGCCCGCCTTTGACGTCAATCTCTTGACCGCCCGATCGGCGGGCTGGAACGTAGGTACAGACGGCAGGCCCATAACTCCCTCGGACGGAGCACCGAGACCGCCCATGGCAGCCATCCGCGCCGTGAGGTCGTCGTCAAGGTCCTCATGCTTCGGCTGGCCCGATGGGACCGAAGGCAGAGACAGGCTGGGCAGACCACCGTCATCATCAACCTTGTCGGACTTTGGGGCTGCAATGGTCGAGGGCACAGACGGGAGGGAGAAGCCCGGGTCGCCGTCACCTTGCTGGTCCTCCTCTCCGGCCTCAACCGCAGCACCTTGGTTCTTGTTTGGTGGGCCAGGCACATCTTCGGGCTGGGTGTTGAGCCGCGCATCGTCAAGGGCCTGAGAGAGTAGCGTCTCCACCTCTTTGGTCATCTCCTCGCCATCCGAATCATCGGCGTCCCTGGCCTTCCCGCCATCGTCGGTGCCGTCCGGGGCGTGCTGGGCGGGCGAAGCCTTCGAGGGTTCTTCTAGAAGGGCGTTCACCTTGGCCGACTCAGCCTTGGGATCAAAATTCCACTGCTGTTGCGGGCCAAAATCTTCGTCGCTGAGCAGGTCTTCAAGGGTCTGGTCATCCGTCTCGAGAAATGGATCGACATCATCCGTCGGAGCCTGGGACTGAGGCGGTGCCGCGGCCGGGTGGGACCCACGGGGCCCCGCCGGCGATAAGCTCGCGGCTTCTCCGCGGGCTGCGGTCTCGTGACCGACGGCCTTCGAGATGTGTGACTGCTGCTGCTGCGGCGACACTGGTGGTGGTGGCATCTCGCGCTCGGGTGTGTTTCTGAGAGAGCGAAGCCGGGCGGACAGTGCGTCCTCTCGTGAGGGGGGCTTGGCGGGCTCGATGCCAGTGATGGAGACGTTCAGGGCACTTTAGGACTTTTTAGCACTGCTCTTTTTCCTGCCCATGTGTTTTCATGGACTATATGAGGATTGGGTATAGTTTTGGTTACTTTGATGAACGGTCTAATGAGACGCCAGAACTGCCGCCCTTCAGCGCACTCAGGCGATCCAGCAGGCTCTTGTCAGAACCGCTCATGTCGCAGGATCGCAGTTCTCGATATCAGCGAAAGTAATGTTATGCGATGTTAGAATTTGGTGAGATGAATCCTTGCAGAAGCCGGCGTGATCTATGGTGTGATGGTTATGTGAGGGGCCAATATTCGCCGCCCGACTGCAGTGTTGTTGTCTGGTTAGTGTGGAGCACCAAAGGCGAGGCAAACCGCAAGGCATCCAGGGACTTGCATGACCTGCAGAAGGATGAGACAAGCGGGGAAAGTCCGATCTGGGTAATTCGTAGTAGTTCGTGAGGCAACCAGATCTACCTCATGGTCATCTCGTTTGATCGAGCAAACTGAAGCTATTAAGTCATGGTATCTCCCCGGGTTGACGGAACTATGGAGTGACGGAAATCCTCAAGTTCTTCAGCAGTCTCGGGCGTTTCTGTTGCACAGCCATCAGGCTACTGCAGCGACAGCCACCATACCAGCCACCAATTAAGCTTACAATAAGCGACCTAGATACCCTGGGGGACCCAGGCGCACTAGGCAGAAACCTATGGGCCAAAGTACCCATCTCTGCATGAACTCGTCAGGGGACCGATTGCCCAGCGTAATTCGATATTGGGACCTTGAAGAGTAGGAGATCAAAGAGAGAGAACAACCAGAATGACGGCCGGTGACATGACGAGCTCGAGGACGATAGACGTAGAGGGGAAGCTGACATGATGAGTGGCCATGCACTTTCCCAGCGTCCTCCTGACGGGGCTGAGCTTTTCCATTTGCCCCAACGTGCTAAGGTGGTAGCGGTCACTAGCCATCTTCCTGGGCGACCTTACTTCCCCAAAGTGGGTAAGCGAATATCATCATAATGTCTTAGCGGTGAACATCCCTAACGGCTGGGGCAAAACATGTCAGTGGCGGCAGACAATGGTTCTTACCCTTGTGGTAATACTGCTTCGATTTACGCAAACGACGGGGAGAGCGAGAAAGGAATTGTTTGTTTCCAGACATCCGAAAGCCATGCGGCCGGTTGCCTGATGGCGGTGCAGTCACGCATTACAGAAGCAGGAACAAACAGCCCCTGGTATCGAAGCCTTGGCTTTCAGCCAAATGCGCGAAGGATTGACCCACGGCGGTGCCGCAAGTAAACCGACGCCAGGGCTGATTGACGATGTCAATAAGGGTTCTCATTCATAAAACATTAAAACATGCCGTCCCTTGCTCTAGGCACCCTTCCTTTCTTGTCGGAAAGTCGTCTCATCAACAAAACATTCACCTACCACACCTACCAAGACTCCACACCTAAGAGAAACTTGCCTATTCGCACTTTCGTTTTTACCAAGACGCTTGTACCACACCGAATCCTTCTTTGACTTCATCGCGCATTCACCCTCTTCCTGAGGTGACGCTTAAATCGCCCGGGCCGCCGATCCTCAAAGACCCCCGAACGCGCCACAAAGGCAATTAGCAAGACCTTGGGGTCGACACGGTGACAGAAGGGAACACCACACTCCGAAGTCTCTGACGAGTCCTCGTGCCGTCATAGGTTTTGGTGGCAACCACTAAGCCGATTCCACATCTCCGTCTGACGGAAGCTTGGTGACTCCGACAATCCCTGTTTGGGCGGGCACAGCGCAGCTCTTGGCATCTGAGACGACCACTTGAAACGGAAAGAGACAAAATTGCAGCCGCTCCCACCTGCTGTTCCTCCGCTCACTTTTTACACTTTCTTATCACATACTACGACAATCCCTCCCCCAGTCATCTTTCTGCCATTCTGATTCAAGTCGCGTACGGCTAGAACGGCACACCCATCAAAAAGACTACTTTTGCTCCAACATCGCATCTTGACGATCGGCGCCCATTCCACCGAACGACCCGAAACCGGCGCAAACGCACCGTAGCAACCGAAAATGAGAGTAGATCTCACAGTCGTCGCGCTGACGCTGCTCGCGCCCGTATGGGCCGCAGCCCTCGAGCCCGGCCTCCACGCCTCAGACGTTTCATTCCTCGCACCAGTAGAAGAGCGCGACAGCAACGCGAATGAGGACGAGAAGCTCTGGAAGCGCAAGGGCGGCGGAGGCGGCGGCGGTGGCAGAGGAGGAGGCTCCTCTTCAGGTGGGTCAAGATCAGGAGGTAGTAGCAGCAGCGGCGGTGGGAGTCGTTCTGGAGGCAGTAGTTCTGGCGGCAGTCGCTCCGGCGGCAGCCGTTCTGGCTCTGGCTCCGGCTCTGGCACCGGCTCTAGCGGTTCAAGTTCTGGTGGCTCATCAAGTTCTCGCACAGGTGGCTCTAGCAGCGGAGGCAGAAGCGGCAGCAGCGGTGCCAGTGGTACCGGAGGCTCTGCGAGAGGCGGTAGCCGCGACAGCTCCGGCGGATCAACGAAGACGGGCAGCGGCCCCGCGCCGGCCTACGGCGGATCATACGGCGGCGGTGCCAAGGTTCCCTATGCTGCCGGCGCATCAAGAGGTCCCGGTTCCATCGCCCCATTCCTGCTCATCGGCGGTGGTCTCGCCTTCTGGCCCGGTCTTTGGCTTGCGGGCGCCCACATGTACCCGTACTCTCACCCGTATCGCTTCTATAACCAGTCAGCGCGCGAGAACCAGACGAAGCCGATTATGTGCGGTTGCGCCGACCACCAGCCCTGCGCATGCGACGAGAACAACAGCACCGAGTACATGAATGCCCTCCTCGGCAACGGCAGCTACCAGGGCCTGAACCAGTCTGTTGTCACCAAGGGTATCTATAACAACACCGACACCATTCTCATCAATGGCACCCTCCCCAACGGCACGACTGCCTCGGGCGGTTCTGACGACGTTGGCACCACCTCTGCCGCTTTCCGGGCCGTTTCTGAGGCCCTCGGCTTCTGGCCCATGTTGGCTGTGGTCCTGGTCACCGTCTTCGCCGCTTAAGCAATCGAATATGACAAAACTGTACATAATGGAAACGTCTGCATGAATTGGGTCGGCTGTAATTTTATTTTTCAAAGGGAGTTTTGGGCGCTCGATACCCACCACGGAGGCTTCTTGGACAGGACAATTAGACCTGGACCTGGCAACAGAAACAATGAGTTTGAAGGTGGATATTACGAGACAGTCTATTATCAATAGTAATCGACGCTACTAGCACGAGTAACCAATGCTACGCGATGAACAATATGTGACAAGCGCCATCAACAAGCCGCATCTCTTTCGGCCCTCCGGGTCTCGCACCACTCTCCCAGCTTCCGCCAAATCCTCTCCTTCTCCGCCGGCCGGAGGGTCGCAGCAAGACCGCTCGTGCTCGTCGCAACGAACACTCTCGCACCAGCCCAAGTATCCCGCCCCTCCTCGTCACCTTCCGTCACAACACCCATATTCTCGCCCTCATCCTGCCACCCGTACCGGAACTCCTCCTTCCTGACCCCCTTGCCGTGCCGCACCCGCCAGATACTCTCCCAGATGCTCTTTCCCACAATGCACACCGTCTCGGGCCTGCACCCTCGCACCTTCTCCTCCAGCACGCCGACGCCCTCGTCCATCTCCGCCTTGCTGAGCTCCGCGCCGTTGCGGCTCGGCCGCGCGACGATGTTGGTGTTGCCCAGGCCGTACAGCGCGGGCAGCTCGCGGTCCTCCTGCGGCGCGCACAGCCGCGGCGTGATGCCCGAGGAGTGCAGCAGCTTCCAGAAGAGGTTGGACGGGTGCGCGTACACGTGGCCGGAGCGCGCCGTCTGCAGGCCCGGGTTGAGGCCGACGAAGAGGATGAGCAGGTTGGGCGCGAGGATGTCGACCAGCGGGGAGAGGTGCGCGTAGGTTGAGGGCGGGGCGTAGCCGGTTGCCTGGCGTTTGCGCTTCGCTTTTGTTGCTGTGTTGCGCGGTGGGATGCGTCGTAGTGATGTGTCTTCCTCGTCGCCGGCGGTCGAGGGTGGTTCCGCCTTCACCTTCCGCGATGTGCTGCTGGTAGGTTTGGTGACCCGGGCTGGCGAGCGGACGACGGGGCCGCCGTGTGGGGTTTGTTTCCGGGGGCTACGGCGAAGTGGCGACGGCGACGGCGATGCTGCTGGGGACGGGGACTCGTGTTTGAACATGAAATCTTGAAGCTGCAGGCGGCCCTGGAAGCTTGCGGGTTTCGGTTGTGGCTCTGCGCCGTCGAAGAACGGGGATTCCATGGCCTTTGTTTGAGTTTGAAGCTTATTACAACGACGGACGAGAAAGAAAATGCAACTATCTAGTGACCGATATCTGGTGAAATTAAACCCCTGGTTGTATGTCTCTTGCCTAGGCACAGAAACCGGGGTTGTGTGGTGATGTCTTGATGTAATGACAGGTGCCCTCGTCCGCGGCTACAGGCAGAGCGATCCTTCGGAGTAGAGTCGAATGTTGTCAAAGTCAAAATGGCTGATGGTGGTGATGAAGCAATTGATGAGATGAGATGGAAGCTGAGTTCAAGTCAGTAGTCTGCTTATCAACTCTTGCTACCCCGTACCTACCTTAGCTCGCGCCACTGTTCCAGACGAGTCGCCACCGCGCTGAAATGTGTCTGAAGCCGCAGGGACGTCTAATGCCATAGGGCAGAGGCCCCACACAGTGATAACAGGTCACTATAAATGACTACCCTACTAGATATATAGAAGAATAAGTAACTTTAACTTTATATATCTATACTTATATATACTTATACTAATTTAGTAGTATAACTAGTTAGTCTAAGATTACTACTAAGTATTAAATTTTCTACTATAGTATTATACTACTATTAGAAATTAATTATATTACTCCCCTAATACCTCTAATTATTTTACCCTAATTTTTCTTATCCTCTCTACCCTTTTTATAGTTAAGATCTAGAGGATTACTATAGTAAATATTAAGCTACTTAATATTATATTAATTAAACCTAAATAGACTTTATACTACTATATTATAACTTCTTAAAATAATTAAATTAACTATCTATATATTATTAATCCTACTTACTACTTAATAATATCTATAATTTTATTAAAACTATCTAAATTATTATATACTATAGAAGATTATATTAGTTAATATAGAGAGGGCTTATTATATCTTAAATACTATTAGTATTAATATTAATTATTAAAATAGTATAATTAAGGAAGATTATCTTATTAAATAGATTAAATCTTCTAGAAAATTAAGCTATATCCTAAATATATTTAAAGTCTTTTTTAATATAAATACCCTTAAGATAATAATAAAGTTTATATATAAATAAGCTTTTAGTATTACTATAGCTAATATATTTCTATAGTTTATTACTCTTATTAGATCTATAGTAATACCTTCCTCTACTTCTACTAACTTAATTTAACTATTAGCTATACTTTCTATATAGTAGACTACTACTTATCCCTACCTATATCTTAAGGAGGAATATTTAGCTACTATCTCTAACTAATTTTAGGTTTCCTATTATAGTAATATTAACTCTCCCCTCTTTAGTAATAGCCCTATAGGATTAATAGACTAGTTCCTCTAGATAAGTTTAAATAATAATATTACCCCTTAATATTAATACCTAACTATACCTTATAATAGTACCTTATTAATACCTATTATACTTATATTAGAAGTTAACTATAATAATACTATAGGTAATATATTACCCTATTTACCTATTATTCTTAGTAATACTATAATTACTTAAATTATATAGATAGTTTTAGTAATAATAGATATATTCTAATAGTATAGAGATATATTACTAGTAGTACTTTAGAATATTACTTCCCTTAAAACTAAGGAGGTTAGTTACTTTAACTTAATAGTAAAAGACCTCTCTTATTATAATATTATATTAAGAGTAAAATATATAACTTATATTAATATTTATATCTTCTATAATTACTTATAGTACTTAGTAGCTATTTAGGGTAAGTAAGCTATTAAGGAAATCTAGTTATTATATTTACTAAGTACTACTTTAGCTTAATATATAACTAAACTTATTATACTAAAGAGAGCTAGCCTTTTAAGTAGACTATTATCTCTTATAGTAGAAGCCTTATAAAAGCATTTTAAGTAGAATTCTTTAGATATACTATAGGTATTCTATAAATAAAAGCTTATTATATAATACTTTACTTAGGGGTATATTATATAACTATTTATATAAACTATAATTTATAATACTTATAACGCTAAAATTAGAAACTTATATATCTAATTAAAGGTGATCTTTAAAGTATTTAATAATAAGATCTAAGTTTAACTAGATAAGCCTATAGATATAACTACTTTAGTATAGTTTTTAGATAAGATTAATAACTAAGAGAGTATCCTCATATAAATAGCTATAGATTACTACTTATAGCAACTATAGTAATTATTACTAGCCTTAACTATAGTAGCTTAGGTGTTTTATATTTATATATTCTAACTATATAATAGAACTATAGCTCCTTACTTAAACTAATAAGTAGAATTTAATATATACTAGAATAATAATTTTTCTAGGCGTTTAACTTAACCTTAGAACTATAATACCTTATATAGGTAGTATTAAGGTTATTAGAACTAAGGCTATAGGAGCTAGCTTTATTAATAATATAAATATCCTTAGCTTACTACCCCCTATAATATACCTATAGTTAATAAATAGTAAGTACCTAGTAATTAGTAATAACTACTAAGGGATTAAAATTAGTAGAATACTAGCTATAGCTTATAATAAGGATCTATCCTAGCTACTAACCTATAAGGGTAGGTAGCTAATCCTTAAAATACTTAGTAATAAGGTAATTATAATTAAGCTTAGTAACTTAAGTATACTATTACTTATATTATAGATAAAGATATAGAAGAAGATTCTTTCCTAATACTTCCTTATAAACTAAACCTATAGATAGATCCTACTAGAGTAGAATAGGTATATAATAAACCTATAGGAGTAAGCTTTAATCTAAGTGACTTTAAGCTTAAGACTATAGTTAACTACTTATTAGTACTAATAGAAGAATTTAGTAATACTACTTACTTTAGTATTATAACTCTAAACCTATATAGATATTAGACTTATTAGAAAGAGTTTCTATTAAGTAATAAGCTATTTAATTACTTAAACTAGTTATATAGAGTTCCCCTCTAATAACTTACTATAGAAGCTAATATTAAGTATAATTACTATAAGGTATCTGAGATATTAATACTAGAGGATGTAATACTAGTAGTCCTAAAACTTATTAACTATAAACTACTAATATATTTAAAAAACTACTAACTAATAATATTATAAAGTTAATAGAGGAATAGATAACTATACTAAATAATATAGATAAAACTAATATAAAAATACCTATTAATATATTAATAATAAATATATTACTAGATATAGGAATAGGATTTAGAGTATATAAATATATATATATATACCTAAGTTTAACTATATTACTTAAAAATAAAATAGAGGAAGAAGTATATAGAGATATTAGTTATAGCTATACTTTAGTAGATAAAGTATAGCTATAAAAAACTTACCTATACTTATAGATTAGATTTTAGTTATAACTACTTATTATATATAGGATTAGTTTAAACTACTATTAGATAGCTAAATATATTATTTTTCCCTTTTATTTCTATAGTATAGATAATAGGTAGTAAATATATATATACTTTAGTTATAAGGTATTATTAGTCTCTAGACTATAAGCTAAGATACTTATTAGTAATAATATTATAATCCCTAAAAAATTTGATATTTAACTATTTAAGACTATAGCTTATATTAACTTATATAAGGTTACTATACCTATTTATTATAAGCTATAAATAAGACCTCTAATTAGAATAATAGTGCAATTTATTACTATAGTTATTATACCTCTAAGATTATTATAACTTCTCCCTATTATTTACTATACTTAAGATACTTAAGAGGATTTACTCTTTAAACCTATAGTATATAATAGATTCTCTAGCTATATTATAATTACTACTATAGAGATAGTATATATAGTAGCTATTAATAATATAAATAAGCTACTATTTATCCTTATAAAAGTAAAAGTAAGTATTTTGAATTCTATTAATAATAAAGCTTATACTTAGTAGATAGTAGAAGATAAAGCTAAGTTAGCTATATTAGCTAGTAAGGATATACTAGAAGGTATCCTTAATAATAGAATATCTAGACTTATATTAGTAGAAGCTCTTAATTAGACTAAAACTAAGAAATATATAAGTAGGATTACTATCTATAATAAAGATAGATAGGTTAACTACTTTATACCTCTATTTAATAAGTTTATAGATATCTTTTAAGATAAAGGTTTTATAGATATCCCTTAAGACTAATAGATATATATAAGCTTAAAACCTAAATAGGAAGAGTAACTACTAAAAATATATAAGGTATATAACTTAGGAGTAATAAAGTAAGATATTATATAATATATTATAAGTAAACTTAAGGAATAAGATAAAGTATTTTATATTTTAAAGTAGGTTTTATTTTTATTCTTAGTGTTTATAGTTTAGTAAGAAGTAAATAAGAAGTAAAAAAGATAAATAGTTATTAATATTTACGCTTTTAATAAGATTACCCTTCTTAATAGTTACTTAATAAGGTTATAAGAGGATATATTTACTTTAGTTAAAGATAAGAAATTTATTACTATAATAGATATTAATACCTTTTATTACTAATAGCGTATATACTTAGAGTTAAAAGGAGTATTTATTATTACTACTTAAGATAGATAATATACCTTTTAATGCGCTATTATAGGATATAAGAATAGTAATATATTTATCTAGAGATAAATAGATAGCTTATTTAAGAATACTACTATATACTCCTATTATAATAATATTATTATAGCTTTAGATATTTTAAAAAGCTACCTTAATAACCTTTAAATAATATTCTAGTTGCTATACTAGCGAAATATAAGTATAGAACCTACTAAATTATTTATTACTTTCTTAAGTATTATAGTATTAAGTAAGTAAGTTAATACTTTTAGCTTTATAATATTAGCTAAGAAGCTTAATACCCTCTACTATATTAAATACCTTACTACACTTTATAATTTAGAAATATTTATTAGGTTTATAGGTTATCTTAGATATAATATACCTTAATATATAGAAATTATTAAATTACTAGAAACTTAAAAAATAGAGCTACTCTACTGATATATAA